AACAAGGAGAGGCTCCGACGAGATACTCATCACCGGACCTGAACACCCCGCCTTGCAGGCTACCGTTGGGGGAAGCCATCAGGTAAACAAAAGGAAAAATCCAGCCGAGATATCCATCAGCTCCAACCCGGATCCAACCATCCCATCCAGATGGCCTGAACCACAATGAAATCAAGAACCACCCAGAACTTCTTTACATATGAGGAGACTCGGTCCGGACGTCCATTTGACTCTATTCTCCAACGCCAGGAAATCAATTCATACGACAATCAAGGACCGTTGATGAATGGTGCCTGCCTGGAATTTGGCCTCAAGGCTAAAAATCCCTATAAAAACCCCGGACAGTCTACCCTCCTTCGTGGATTTGGGAACACCTATACCTTTGGGTATAGACCCCTGTCCACCCAGCGCTGCGCTGTTTGTTTTATTGTGGTTTTTCCTCATTGTTTATTTTTTTATAGAAATTGTTTTATAATAAATTGTTTTTATTTAACCCAAATCTGCCTTTGCATTTATAACATGATCAGAGTACAGTTTTTCTGTATCTTGAAGTTGCCAAGAGTCCTGGGGCCTTAGTGTGAGGTTGGTACCATTACAGCTTAGTTGGAATTTTGTGGGAGGCTGTGATGAGTTTGTTTGTGTTGGTGTAAAGGTGTTCACCCTGTTGTGCATAATGACAGAATCTTGCTGAAGGGGCTTAATTAGTGATGAAATTCATAATTTTTCTCATCCTGAAACTCACCTTGTTAAAATGCTACTAACTGGGCAGCTCTTATTAGGCTTTTTACTACTTGTTTCAAGTCTTCAGCCCAGTAGAATCTTTTAACTCCACCTAATACACAGAGCATTGCTGGCCACACTAGATTTTGGGAAGGAAAATTGCCACTGCCTGTGCCTGTTGATGTAGGCTGAGTGGGACGAGGCTTGGAACAGCCTGGTCTGGGAGGTGACCCTGCCCATGGCAGGGGTGAAATGAGATGGGCTTTACAGTCCCTTCCAACTCAAATAATTCCCAGTTTATACATTGCTGGCAGTGCTCTGGTGCTGATCCAGACCCTTTAAGCATGGGTATATGGGCAGGACAGTGTGTCTGAGATGGGGAGGTTTTATTCCAACTCAACCCCATGCCGTTCCTGAGGCTGCTCTTCCCAGACTCCTGGGAGGAAAGTGTTACTGCTTTGCACATCTGCTGTGATCCACAGGGTGGTGGAACATCATTCACACCCAGCAGGCTTGAATAAAAATCCTGGAAAGGTCTAGTAGCCTTTAGATGGGGTTGGAGGTTTCCTGGCAACATCTACCACAGTTTGAAATGCTGCTCAGAACATTCACCTACAGGAACCTCACACTGTTCCCTGTTCCTCATATGAGGAGTGTCATTTCTGTAGCCATCAATGAATTCTCTCTCCCTTGTGTGTAATCTGTCCCTCTGCTTTACAGATGCTGAAAGTTTTAATACACTACAAAAGAACAGCCTGTGTCAGGTGCGGTTTTGGTTTTGAGGCACATTCTGTGCTCAAAGCAAGGCTTAATCAAATGCATTGATCCTTGTATTGCTGTGTAAAGATTCAGTTCAGTCTTTTTCTTTTGTAAAAAATGCAATTAGAATGCTCTTTAATAAGTGGTTACTGTATACTCTGAGTCTCCTACAATAACATCAGTTCTTGTGGCTTGTGAGAAGATGCATTTCAGATGGAGTCTGATTATTCAGTGGATGTTTGACATGCTGTTAGAAACCTTGGCTTTTCCCCAGTTCTTTTTATTCTGATGGAAGTGACAGCTCCAAGGAGGTGAAATCTGAGTGGGATTCTTACCACAGGGGTGGCTCTGTGAACTATTTAGAGCCCTGTCCACTTGTGGGTTCTTGCAGAAAGGTTTCACTTCTGCTTTTGGCTGGTTTTGTACCACATTTTGCACTCCCAAACATGAATCCTAGACAAATAGTTTTAAAACTGGTAAAACTACTTGCTGTATAATTTTACAGGATATTGACATAACTCACTGTCAACATAAAGTATCTGCTCAGCTAGGAATTATTGCAGGGGTGGTTGTGTATCTCAGTCCATATCATCACTTTGATGGTTCTAAGCAGTGTTTAATTTGGAAAATTATTACTTTAATAAGCAAGAGGAAAGCTGGTCCTGAAGCTACCTTTGGAAGTAGCTTTACCTTGTGCTGTTCCACTTCCAAGTGCAGTTTTAGGTGTAAACAACAAATCAGATGCCACAGGGCTTTCATGTTGTTTATTATGGTTCTTGGAGGGAATAACAAGAATTGAGAATTTCCTGCTGGTGTGAGCAAAAGATCTTTGGAATGAGGAAAAGCCGCTCAAGGAGCTCTGGTGCTGCTGGGTATTTGAGGTCCTGCTGTCACCTCAGTGAACAGGAGACCTGGGAATGGGAACCTCTAGCTTTCCCAGTCTGAAGGGCTTTTCCATTGTGTGCTTTTCCCAGTGTTTCCTTTGAAAGTCTGTTATTCCTGTAAATGGTTTCCAATTTTTAGGAGCTGATACCTCCCACCAAGGATGGTTTGTTGGAAAATTGCTAACCAGGTCAGCGACTGGAAGCCAAGATAATTGGTTTGTTATTCTCCTGCATGGAGTTTTTATAGTGGAGACAAAGATAAATCATTTTGGGAGGGTGAGTGGAGCTGTTTTCTGAAATATCCATGTTTTGGATATGGACAGACAGGCAGTGATGGCAGCAGTTAGTTAATCTCAAACAAAAATCATTCAGGATTTTAATAGTCACTTTAGTTTGCAGTCTCCTGTAAATCTCAAGTACTGTTTTTTTTTGTTTTTCTTTACATTTGGGTTTTGGTTCAAGGTTTGTTATGATGGTACCTCTTCCTCCTGGCCTCTGCTTGCAATGAAATTACAATAATTCCTCCTGGTAGGAAAAATAATTTCTGCTTCTCTTATCTATAACATTCTCAAAAGGGATGTGTTTCACTGTGTTCCCACTGAGAATGAAATTCCTGGGGTCAGGAAGAAGACAAACTTGTACTTCAGTAGGAGTGTAATATTGTAATATTTAATTCTACTTAAAATGAAATACTGGAAACCATCCAGGGCTGAGAGGAGAAATCTTGGAGAACATTGCTTGACATCTATCCCATCAGTGATGCAACTCGGGTATCTAAATGGAATCTGTGCTGTTCCAAGTACTACAGCAAAGAAAGATATTCTATGTATTCTGTGTGATTCTGTGTATTGTGGGCTGGTTTTTTTTTCCCCTTTAAGGTCTACCTTGAAATAAATAATGCAAGATACAGCCAGAAGCCTTTTCACCTTTCTCCTTGTCTCAGCAGTGCCAGTACCTTTTGTCTGGGTCAAAAGGAAAAGAAACTATCGCAGAGCCCAGCTCGTGCTTCCCGTGCCAGCAGAAACATTAAATATCGATCCCCAATCCTGCCTTTTAAAGAATGCTTAAGGAAAATCGAATGCTTTGTCTCAAACTACAAGCAGTAGGTTCTTTCAGTGCTGTGTTCATTCAGCCCTGCTCATCAATTACTCATTCCCTGAGCAAAATTGACCACCTCTGAACAACTCTTTGGCATTTACTAGAGTGAATGTTACTCCTGAAAATGCAAATTTTGCAGCTGCAAAATTTCCCAGCTTTTCTGGGAATCCTGAAAATAAAGAAGGGGTGGTGTGCCTGCTTTGCCTGTTTGCTGCGCTGGAATTGGATGTGATCTGCTGGAGATTACCTGCACTCACTGAAAATACTTCCATGGATTCTAGTGAGAAGAGAAATGTGTTGCAGGAAGGGTGGTTTGGGGTGGCTGGTGCCATTTCCAGTGACATCAGAATGCTTTGAGCACTTGGAGTCATCCCTATTGGATGAGTTTGTTATTCCAGCCCAGAGGAAAGGCAGGAAATTAAGACATTAACGAGGCAGTTGTCTTTGTGTTTGAGAACTTGGAAGCACAAATAATTACATGAACATCTTTCCCAGTGTAAGGTGTGTGCTCTGCCAGACGGAATTTGCTGAAAGCTGAGTGTGGGAAGGTGGCACTTCAACACTGGATTCATTAATTTTTTCATTACTCCAGGGGGTGCAGGGCTGAGCTCAGCTCCATGGGACTTCTCTATTTAGAAAACTGATTTGAAGTTGTTGTGTCTGTTAAACAACTGTGTTTGTACTTATTCTTTAGTTCCTAAAGAACTCCCTTGTCTTTGAGGAGGCAGATTTGGGAATGAGGGAGGAAAGGAACTGGGCAAATGATTCTATGTTTACTTCTGGATTTTTATTTGGTCATGAAATTTGAATATTACGTTCCCATTTCTCCTTGGAGATTAAATCCTTTTCAGTGTGAATGGTCCTGAATTAAGTTTCTTTACTTAAAAAAATGCTGGCGAAAGAAGAGAGGCTTTGCTCCATGTTTGATTGATGAAATTATCTCACCTTAAATCTGCCCCTCTGTAACTTACTACATCTTATCCCTTCTTTTTGCATATTTCTAAAATTCAGAAAAGCATGAGGTTTTAAAATTACCTTTATTTGCCAACCTGGGCCCTTTCTGAGTGTCTGATAAAGCTGAGTGTTGGATTCCAGACCTATTGGCCTGTGACCTTTTCAGCTAAAGTGTGAAGAAGAGATGAAGACAAAAATTAAAATGTATAAAATAATCTGATTCTAGAATAGTATGGGTGTTGCTTTCCACTTGTAAGGATGGAAAATAAATCTCTGTGCATATTTGAGGAAGATCATTATTGAGGGTTCAGAGGGTGTCACATGTTTTAATATTGCAATTATTGACTTTAGCTGTTTAACTGGGTTTTAACTTCTAATAGATTTCCTCCAAGCCTAGGTAGACATGTTTCTTTTCTAAGTGTCTTATTAGCAGAAAAAGTACAAAAGCCCTAGAGACACACTCACTGAAGTACAGAGGGAGAGAATGCTAGAGAAGGTACATGGCTTTTGAATTATAGATGCTGGAAATAATTGTGTCCTAAGTATTTGTGCATTACTTTACAGGTATGAAGGTGACAGCTCAAGAAGCCTCAGGTATGTGTACATCATTTTGATGTTCTTCTTTGAGAAAATATTTTAAAAGCATTAAATAGAAATAGATTGTTTTTTGGTTTTTTTTAGGTGTGGGCATTACTGGTTGTGCTTAGCATGCCATTGATACTTTGACTAAAAGCTCTTCTCTCTTGGATAAGTTACTGAATGATTCTATCTCCAGTGTGGTTTGAGAGTGAGGGATTAGTTTGGGTCATTACAAAAGATTTATGGTTAGTTCCTGGTGCTCCCAATCCAAGTTCCTGCTCGATAGCCCTGTGCTCTGGGGACGCTGTCTGCCAGCTGCCTGCTGGTTTTGGGGCAGCATCTGTGTTGGGGGGGAAGTCCATGGATTTGTTCTGGCTTTCTTAGCAGTCTCCTCTTTTTCACCTGTCAGGGAGAGCCTTCATTGACTCATTATTACACTGCTCTTTGTACACTTGGAAGGTTCAGATAATGTGCAGAATTTCATGTAATTATCTGGTACTTTACTTCCAGCTTACTCACTGGGTGTTTTATACTCAGGGGTGTATACCTCTCTGCAAACGTGGCTGAGTCGAGCTTGTAGAGCTTGTAAAAGTGCTCTCAACAGGACTGAGATGTGAAAATTCCATCCTTGAATCGGAAAGTGGTCCATATTCATTAGAGCATTGCCATTAAGCAGATGCCTTGATTGAGGACTGCCTCCAGCAGTGTGACTATTGATCAGTGATAAGGTTCATAATATTGACTGTGGCTGCATCATAATACCCTGCAGTGGGTTTTGGGGACTGTCAGGATGTTTCACCTTAAGACATTGTGTTTATTGTAAAACCCCAAAGCAAAGACAGGACCTTCCCTTGCAGAATTAAAATCTAGTTCATACCCACAGGTGTGCAGACTATCCCCAAGAACAGTATTAGAAAACCAGGAGTCTGTAGGAAAGGGTTAAAGTTCCTCTGAAATGCTTTTGTCTTAAGACAGAATTCAAGATCACTGGACCCAAGCTCAAGGCTGTGCAGGGCAAGTTGGGAATCTATCTAATGCACAGCAACTGATCTGGATCAAATCCCAAGGCTGCAGTAGGATGCCTGTGGGTATCACTACATTCATTCCTTGGGTTTTTAGCTCCCAGCAGAGTTGCCAGCATGCTGGCAAGCTGTGGAAGGACTACTGTTGTGTGTGAAGGTCAGCTGTTGCAAACTGAAAGTAATGCCCCTGGCATGTGGATTTCCAGCAGCATTTCAGCCTCAGTGATCACTCTTGTTTGTCCCTGAGCCTCCAGCGGGATTTACCTGCTCCGATGGATGAGTGTGTGTGGCATCACTGGATACATCTGGTGGGAGTGGAGCTCCTCTCTTGCAGAGCATGTTTGGGGGGTTTATGCAGTGCACAGGCACAGCTGAAAGCCACTGACTTCAGCTCTGGTTTGGTGCTGCTTGAAAACCAAACTCCAGCCCTGGCTCCTGCCAGGCGCCTTTGTGCACTGGAATGTTTCAGTCAGGGTGTGTTGGACTGACAGGGTAAGGCACTGGTGGAATGTGTCTTGCCAGAGCCATTCCCACCTCAGAGGAATGTGGTTCTGTTCATGTGTGGTGCCCTTTTGGGACCTGGCAGTGCCACATGGGACACATTCCAGCTGGCTGGGTTGTGGTGGTGGGAATAAGCACCCTCTTTTCCTACAGAGACCTGTGGGCAGCCAGGCTGAGCCCTGGGGTGCTGATACCATCTTGATTTGAGGCTGTTCAGGGAATTTATTCTGTTATTCAGTATGAGCTTAAGGTGCTCCAAGACAGCTCCAGACTTCTCTGACAGCCTTATTTTAATCAGACTGATGTAGGCAATCAAGCAGGAGGCAGAGCCGAACTCCTGAAATGCTTTTTCAGTGTAAATTCTCTATCCTCCCTCTTAAACTGCATTTTCCCTGAGGTGAAATGTTACTGAGGATTCTGTGATACTGTTCTTTTGTGTTTCTGCCTGCACAACATCCTCATCAGCGTTGGTCTTGTCTTGGACAAAAGCTCCCTAAGCTCTATTGATGTTTAGGCAGTATCTTTATGTTGTGGTTAATTTGCCTTCCTACTGTTTTCCTTTCTTTCTGGCAAATGAAGATGAATTGTAATTATCTCAAATGAAATGATCAGGGCAGTCTGGGGAATAGTGCTTAATCCCTGAAGAGGTCTTCCTGCTCACAGAGATACCAGAAAAATAGCAGTAAATCGAAATGCTGGCCAGCCAAATGGGTTCCATGAAAGCAATGGGTGCAAGGAGCAGCAAGCAGGTGAGAAAGCAGGCATAAAATGTCCTGTCTGTGTTAACTGCACAGACACACCAGGTGAAGTCAGAAGGGCTTGTGTTTGTGGTCAGTAAATGAAAGTATTGGTTAGGACTGATGGAGTCTCAGCCATTGACACTGAAAAAGATCACTCCAAATAAACTGAGATGCAGCCAGAGATGTTGGTCTCTCCCAGCTGGGTGAGTGTAATCAGACTCTTAACCCAGAGATTGCTTAGGAATAGCTGGTGTTTTTCATGCAGGAATGGAATATCCAATACAAGTGATGCCCTGGAATTTACACTGTTGCTCAGTTGCAAAGGATATTGCCCTGGTGGATTTGTTTGCAGTGGCTTTATGCCACTTGTAACGAGGAAATGGCCTCCACAAGATGTTTTATAATGCTGTGAAATGCAAAAAGCACACAATATGTGCAGAGACAAGGTTGACACCAAAGCAATATGATTCTGAGTAATACATTAAAACAACAAAAAACCAGCTTGACTTTATTTCTTTAATTTGGCTTTCTCATTGTGACAAAAAGCCATGAATTATCCTGTTGTACCAGCCCTTCAAATTCTTTCTGCTTATAATACAGTTGTACTGTAATAAACTCACTTTGGTTTCCCTTTGGTGAATGCCATGTAGTTTCCAAGCTGAGGTATTTGTTAAATCTATTAAAAATGGATAGATTGCTTTGAACACCGCATTCTGAGGTGTAATGCACATGTACAATGTGGAGCTGTCAGTGTGATGGGCTGCTTTAATTAGCTGTCTTTGTTCACATGTTTCCAGGAGAAAATGCAATTTGTTTTACAAGGCATTTTGATATTTAGTGGTGTGACGCGAGTCAAGATGAAGATATCTGTGTGCACTATGTCCTGTCAAAGTTTGCAGAGATTGTCTCAGGGTTTAGTAGCAGATGTTACTTTTCCCTCTGCACCGGCCTTGTGTGATTAAAAATCACCAGAGTGGAGGATTTGAGCAGTGAGAGATGCACAGGGGGTCAGGGAGCAGCTCTGCTAAGCAGACCTCTGAAACCTACCCAGAAACAACACCTCTAGCATTTTTCTTTCCAGTTGCTCCTTCCTAATTGTGTGCTTTTAAAGGAGCTTTAACATGGTACAAAATGAAGGAAGCTGTAACAAAACTGCATAAAAGGAGAGGCTTTCATGGCTCCTGAGCTGAGGGTGTCAAGGCTGCTTCCAAAAATGTGTGGTGTACTAGGTAGAGCTGTGAAATAGGCCCAGAAAGAGTGAAAAGACTGAAGACTAATTTGAAAATAAGAAGAAATAAAAAAAAAGGCCAGCTGAAGTACTAATTAAGGGAGAAACATCAGGTAAAAGTTACTTGGCTGAACTGAAAGAAGATGGAGGATGTGTGGAACTGTGTCTATTGAGGATCACACAGAAAGGCTGATTCCATGTAAAGGTGCACGTTAGATTAAGAGGAAAAGTAATTGTCTAATTTACTTTAGAGCAGGAGAGAATTGTGGAAAACCAGCCTCATTCTGTGATGAGTGGAGTGGGAGGATTGCCTGTGAAACAGACAAGCAGCAGAGATAATCCAGCAGGAATCAAAGTTTTAGGAACTTTCTGTTTTGTTTTACTCTGGGAAAATCTGCTTGAACTTTGTGACTCAGCCTCCTCTCTGAGAACCTGCAAAATACAATTATGTCAGAGAGACTTGTAAAACTACTTTTCAAGTTGGAATGTATTTCTGTGCCATCTAAATGGCTCAGTGTCTATATGTAAAAATGGCCTTTTCTGGCTGGTTTTAATCATTCCATAATGACTGCTACAGTTTTATCACCAGTCCTTAAAATTTGCAAAATCATCACTTGTTAGTAATTTTGAAACCCTCCAACTTCTCCTCCAGTAGATTTTTGCATAAATGTTAGGCTGACCCTCTCCAGTGGAGTGGAATCTGATGGGTCTCCTGATGTTAGTTTAAATTAGTTTTATTGCTGCTAACAGAAATAAAACATATGGAAACAGCTTCTGGTAGTTGAGATGGCTGTGGAGCTTCCAGTGGCTTTCAAATGATGAAGATTTAATCTGAATTTCAGAATGACAGGACAGTAATACATTCATAAAATTGTCAGAACTACTTCTATGTCATCTTTAACAGTGATGATACATTTGTGATGTTAAAAAATCCTTTTTTCCCACAAAATTGTGTGAAACATAGAGCCAACCAGATTTCTTTTTTTCAGTCCAAATGTCTTGCCTGTGGAACTTAAACTGCATGTGCTGGTGAACAGGAGAGATGTTTTTGTGGTTTAATGGTGTTCAAAAGGTGCCCATAATTCTGTGCTTCATGTGGATTTTTATTTTTCTGGATTTCTTACTGAGAATCTTCAGGCCCATCATGACGTTTCATGGCTTTGGCTTCAGGTGCTACAAATGATTCTGTCACAACCACAATGCCACCTATGTTTTGTACAAAAATGTCCTGCATGGACTCAATCTATTTTACCCCCTTAATACCACTCCCTTAGACTCAGTTGTCAAGGAAGTCCAAGAGCATTGTGAATGGGTGAATTGAAGGGAAAAAGCGACGGGGTTTTTTTTGGCAAGAATTGTGTAAACACTTGTAGGTGTCTGTCTGCAAGCAGATGAAGTTTTTGCATCAGGCAGTGCATTATATTAATAGTTTGACTTCTGAATTGCTGCAATTCTGATTTTTCTACTGAAAAATAGAATCAAATCTTGCTAAATCTTGGATGCCATCCAGATGGCGAAAGCAGC